GGCCTTTGTCTGAAAAGTCTGGATTGCATATTGTCTCGACAAAATTATAATGAGTAATTTGTATTGAATTTTGTACATCTTGGAGGGGTGGTGAATAAATTAGAGAAGAGGGGATGCCTAGAAAGAAATTCTCACACTAGGGGTAATTCGGGATTTTTTCTAAATATTGCCTTATAAGTTATAAATTTAAGAATTTGAATCATATATACTATTAAAATTTGGATTATTAACTGCACTTTTATGCTATATTTATTCATATACCTTGATAATAAAGTATTTAAATTAAATTTGAATGTAGCTCACTAGAACCTCATGACATGCTCAGAAAAAAGATGCCTGTAGTGAGGGAGTTAAATAAAGTTATGTCTACATGAGTTTATCTGGCCATGTAAGTTTTTTTAAATAGAAAACAGGATTTATTGATCTAGCACATAATGCCTGCAAGAAAGCATAGCTTAAATGCTGTACATGAAAATGATAGAATAAGAAAAATTCAAGCAAGGGCATGAAAACTACTGCAAATGTTTTGCAGGTTGAACCTAGTATATATTAATACTGGTACTGTTTCTTTTTCTGTCTCTCTCTCTCTCACACATTTTGGTGATTGTGCTTTATCTGTCTATGCTCCTAAGCTTTGGAACACTCTTCGTATCCAGCTGCAATGTTCAAAATCTGTCAGGTCTTTTAAAAGTCTTTTGAAGTTGTGTCTCTTTCACCTGGCTTTTGACTAATGTAGAGATTGGTCAATGACAGGTGCTTTGAATGGCTGGCAATGGGTAGAAGAGCACTGTTTAAGAAATTTAATTATTATAATTATTATTATTATTATACAATGCTAATATGACAATACCATACAAAGATAGTACTACTAAGCCATGTCACACATTATATACACATCTCTTTTTATATTTTACTTTTTTTTTTTTTGTCAGGATCTTCTCCACTGAATCAAGGGCTGAACCTATAAGTAGTGATGCAGGTGATTTCAAAGCAGAACTAACCACACTTGAGTCAAGTGATGAAGAACAAGGATATGAGATAAACTTCCACAGCATTTCCAATATCATTAGTAGTGAGACAGAGTCCAGTGAGGTTTGCTTTCTCACTCACCATCTTCAATATGCAACACATACACACTCAATTTAGTAACAATCAATGATGGTACATTTAAGAAAGTGTCCCAATCAGCATTTGTGAAGGCTCAGATGGTTTGGAACAAACAGAGCCGCAGAACTGTAACAGCTGACCTTATACAACAAGAACTGGGCGATCATTTAGTTGCTCTATGTTCTACATAGTGGAATTTAAGGTAGTACAGTGTGTTTTTGCACTGGAATTACTTCAAAGTGAAATTAAGGCCTATATGGAACTACTTCTGCCAATTCTTACTGCATGTTTGACAAAACTGAATGATCTTTGTGGTTATCCACTCCAGACTTACAAGCTTGTTAATGCTTTGATTTCAGGAATTGAGAAGTGCATCGAAACTTCCTTTGTCAGTGAGAATCACATTTTTACAGCTCCTTTTCACTCATGGTTTAAATTGACTTGGATTAGCTCGAATGCTAGGAAAGAAACTGTAAAACAAATGATGCTGTTCTTGAGCAAAGAACCATCTACTTCAAAAGATATAGAATAGAATCAAGCTTGTTCCTCTCACCAGCTTTTAAATCTCTCTCCATTTACTTCAGTATGCCCATTCCATTGAGTACAGCTGTAGAGAGCATTCTCTCAACAGGGAAAAACATTTTAAACCAAAAAAGAACTGGACTGATGGATAAAATTTTCAAGAAGCTGATACTACTGAAATAAAATAACAAATTAAAACAAATAATAAGAGATGTAATATATTCTGATATTAGAAACTTATTATTTCATACTAGCTTATGAGCTCATTTCATATTATTATTACTGTCATCATATTCATTTATATTTAAACATTGTGTTCTTTAAATACTATCATTGAATGTATCAAGGGCTGAATGGTTGTTAAGTGCTTTCCTCTCATCATTGACAAATACAGATAGGCTGTTCTGAGAAGTCTGTATTATGTTATTGTAACAATAAAGTATTACCATTTACCAATAAATTTGAGTTTTTCATTCTTATATTATCCATTGACAAAAAAGAATTATCATGAAAAATGTCAATTTCAAAAGTAGCAATAACACAAATATATTCATAAATATGTTGCAGTAGCAGTGCTCTATTGAAGAGGTACCATGCATGGCTGTGGTTATGGGACATTGTTTGCTTTTTGTGTGTTATTAATCTTTGTTTTCAGGTGAATTATTTAATTAAATAAAAAATTATTTAGTATAGTATAATACCATTAATATAAAAAAGGAGGCTTAAGTTTCCTTGACAATCAACATAAAGAAAAACACAAAAGATCCAAGTAAGTACTATGTTTCTTTTTTTCATGTGTACTCTTTATTTATTATTATGAAAGTAACAAATGTAAATATTAGAAATTTAGTAGGTAAGATAATGAAAATAATAATGATAAGTCCTCACAAGGTATGTTTTGAGTAGCTCGTGCTTGATGTAATTCAATATGATAACATGAGCTGCATGTTCACCAAATGATTTACAACTTGTGTGGCAGGATTATTGGTTAGACATTGTTTAAAGATGAATAAAACAATAAAATTAAGTATAAATAGATGTATACCGTTAGGAACTTTAAACCATTTAGGATAAACAACTGTGGTTTTATGTTAGAATTTGCAGTCATTCTAGAAAAAAAAAGAGTAATTTAGATTTATTTCATAATTTTATATGGTGATTATGAGGGCAGTAATATCAACTGACCTGGTATAGTGTTATATTAGAGAAACTGATAAAATATGAAGTTTTTTTAAAGAAACATTTTATTTGTATTTAGGAAGTTTTATGGATTATACAAATGAAATTGGAAATTTTTCAGATGAAGAATCTTAACATGTTTATGGACATGTTTTTTGTAAAAATACTTAATAATAAATTCTGATTTTCGTATCCACAAAAGACATGTAATATTTACTGAAAGCTTGCAAATTTCATAAAGCTATATCAAGTACTTTCAGAGTTATGTATACCTTCATGGTTACAATGTGATTACAAGATTGTGCAAAATACACAAACCTGTTGCAAAAGGGTTAAATGATGTCAACATCAGTTATTCGTGTGTTAGCCAGAATTAATGAGCTTCAACCATTTAATAAAACAAAATGCTGAGCTTTTATGAATAATGATTGAAGGAAAATAAAACTTAGGACTCTAGAATTTTTTATATTTCATCCTTGTTTTCTCTTGTGTTTTTAGCTCTTCATTATTATTCTTGGAAACAACTTCTATAGACATTGCTTCTCAGAGCTGGAAAAGATTAGATTATTTAAACTTAATACATATCTTACCCAAAATCTTCATACTTTCCTTGGCTTATTGAAATATTTGTTATATTTTGATCAGGTTTGATGCAAGAGAATGTGTATTAGATATTAAGTCTTTGTATCTGATATGTACAGATGTATGATATGAAGGAAGAGAATCACTCAAAGAGTTAATAGAACTTATTGTTTTACCAGTTTGAGCATGCATTGTGCAATATCTGAATCAGGTTTTATTTTGATAGATTTACACCTGCAGAAAATAGGCATTACCAGGTTTTAATATAGGGGATCATGCTGAATCAATAGAGAGTACACTTCACTTGAAACATGGCAGGATTAAATCTTTACATGGTGTATACTTCTATTTTCAATACTGAGTTATATGTCATACAGATAGGATGTTCATCATATTCTTGTATATGATACACCGTCTTCAACTTTTATACACCCAATTTCACTGAGTGTAAACATTCTTCAGATAACTTTGGAAAGTTCCAAGCCATATCACCAGCTTCAGTATTTTACCACGTTGACTTCTTTTACATTAAATTTTGAAACTCTTCTCTTTCTTGAAACCTGTTGGATTGTTTTACCAGTTTGAGCATGTATTCTGCAATATCTGAATCAAGTTCTCTTTTGTATTTGAGTAGTTACAAAGAATACTGTCAGTACCTAATCCCTAATATAAAGCATCTACAGCTTGGTAAATGTCATGACTAATATTTCGCTGTCATATGCAACATTTTACTACTTTTAACACATAACGCACTATTGTGACAAACTTTTACAGATTGGGTTTCAAGGATACTGGTTGCATCCCCTTTGTAATAAAAATAGCTTGAGACATAAATGTTAAATTGCATTGCTAAATTATAGGAAACTAAGAATTTGGAATTTAAAACAATGTGATGTAATTATCCTAAAAGGCAGAACATAACAATACAAATTAATAGCAAACCCATTGATGTAATGGAACCAGAGCTTGCTCATGTCCTGTCTTCTTTTTTGTGTGTGATTAAAATAAGTACATTTAATAGTAAAATAATTTAATTAGAGATATAGTATTTTATAGAATTACACTTGTATGTTTTAAATGATGACTTAAAAAATGAAAAATATTATCATATATTTTATTATGTGGAGATGCTATATGAAATACAGATCATCTATCAGTTGTATCTTTATGAGTCAGATTTTTTGATTGGTAATTATAAATACATTAAATGTCTGAAATGCAGCCTACATGTTCACCTCTGATTAAAAGACCAAAATATTATTATAATTTATTTAGTGCTCTATCACAAACTATTTTATCATTACAACACCTAGTAAACCCTGTTTTCATTCCTCAGGATACTGATTTGTTATTATTATATTAAGCCTTATTTTTATTTTCTGCAGCAAGAGTTTGCTTTTATGTTATTTTATTGATCATTATTTTTTTTCCATAGATATAAGTTGACCTTCTGCATATTCCAATAAACATTGTGCTTTTTATGTTATATTATGAATTTTCACTGTCTGATCTTAAGTTATTTTTCTGATTTTTTTCAGAGTCAATTTTCTTAATAATCGAAGTCGTAGTTGTTAAAATATTAATACTTTTGTTTTTAATCCCTTCTCCAGGGTACAAGTCGACCTTCCCATTATCATGTTCTTTGGGATGATAACCAGTTTTCAGCTGATGAGTTACAGTGCCTCACATATCAACTGTGTCACACATATGTTCGTTGCACACGTTCTGTATCCATCCCTGCTCCAGCATATTATGCTCATCTGGTAGCTTTTAGAGCTCGATACCATTTGGTAGAAAAAGAGCATGACAGGTATGTTATAATTTTTAGTAAAATAAGGACAAACTTGTGATTCTTATTTACTTGTAATAAGTCTAGTGTGCAGATTTTTACATGTTAGGGCACCTTCCTTTTTTAATCTATGCACACAAAACAGTGTAATGACATTTATAAGTAACAGGTTAGAACTGCTATTTTGGAGATTTTCTGTTTATTTGAAATTTGCATAATGTGATTTTAAATGTTTAGTTACTGTTTATTTGTGCTCAAACCATGATAAATCTAAATTCGCATACCACTATCACATGATGAAATATAAAAAAAAAATATATTGGAAAGTAAAGAGGTTAGTCCTTTCTCTTCACCAGACATTTTTTTTTAGCTCCATTTAAAATACCATTGCCTGTTTTAGTGTTCTTGATGTAACAGAAATATTTACCTGTTGGAGAGGATGCTAAAGTGTTGCTGGAGTGATCTCAAAAATTAGTCACTTTGATAAAATGGGAAGTAAACTTGATACAATTTTATACTGAAAATGTACTCAGTTCCACAGATGTGAATGTTTACGATACTTTAATCACTTCGATATTTTTCAGAAGTTGATTGATGGTCATGGTTGACTTAGTGAACTGCAGTGTAGTTGAGTTTGTTCTAAGCTTGTCCAGTTAAACTTCTCATATAATGGTTAAATCAGTTTTATTGGTAATACCAACATATCTTTATTACATTATGTTCAGGAGATGAATTAAAACTGATGTTATTTTTGGTGATTTTAATTCATTTATTCCCAGGTTAACAAACTATGTAGTGATCTTAGCACGGTGAATCTAATTTACACTATTATTTTTACACAACATTATTCATAAAGATTAATGCTATTTCTTATACAAATTTGTATTTTTAGTTTTACTTAGTTAGTGGCATTTTCTGAAAGTTTAGCTCAGTCTAGTAGTGTTAATGATTAGAATTACAATTATTTTAAAGTATATTTATCCATTTGCATTAGGTGAAAACAGAATAGAAAGTATATTTTAAAAGCTAGACTTATATTTATCACTTTTTGCAAACTAATTGACCACACTCCACCTTAATTATTAATTTTATATGAAAGATTTACAACTGTTAGTTTCCTCTTTTTATCCTTAAAAGTTATGTTTTTAGCAATCCTTCAAAATTTTTTTCCAGCTAATTGGATGAGAGGAGGAATCTTAGCAAATTTATTGGATTTTTTATTGTATTTAAGCAACACTTTCTCAGTGTTGTGCTGTAGTTTTCAATATTGGTCATGCCTGATTTTTAGAGGTTAAGTGAAGTAATTTAGTCTCAACTTTCTTATTTTTCTCTATTTACTTTTTAATTTTTTCTTACTATTTAAAAAAGTATTTACTTTCTAC